TTGAAACCCTTCAACAGAATGGCATTGTTGAAAGGAAGCATCAACATTTACTTAACGTGGCTCGAGCTCTCCTATTTTAGTCTAACCTTCCCAACCTCTTTTGGTCTTATGCTTTACTTCATGTTGCTACCTTCATAAATCTTATTCCCATACCTTTTCTAAAAAGTATGTCCCCATATCATAAGCTCTATTTTGAATTATATAATATTACTTTACTTCGAGTGTTTGGGTGCCTTTGTTACACTAGCACTCTTAGTGCTCACAGTAGGAAGTTGGATCCTAAAGCTTTACCTTGCGTGTTTTTAGGGTTCAAGTCTTACAAGAAAGGTTACATTGTGCACAATCTTCATACACGAACCATTGAAGTCTCTTGAAATGTTATTTTCTATTAGAATTGCTTTCCCTTTTCCACTATCAACATGAATGATCCTACTACTCTAGCTCACCTTTCCATCACTACTCACAACCCATAGGCCTTTCCTTCGCCTATTGATTCTCCTCTCTTTAATCCTTCCTTTCCTCAACCTAAACATATATTCGTTGACTAGCCACATACAGAGTTGTTTCTTCTGAATATTCCCTTCAAAAATCTAACAGAATGCGAACTTGACCCACAAAATACAATGATTATCAGACCAATTTCGCATCAACCACCGTGACTCATACTCCCGATACTAAACATCCTATTTCTTCTGTAATTTCATATAACAAAATTTCTTCACATTATCACAACTTTATTCTTAATGTTGCTGCTCAGTTTGAGCGTAAGTCCTATGCTGAAGCTTGTAAATTTGAATGATGAAATTTCTGCTTTAGAGAAGAAACATACATAGGTGCTTACTTATTTACCTCTAAATAAACATGCAATTGGGTGCAAATGGGTGTACAAGATCAAACATCATGCAGATGGTTCTATTGAATGATATAAGGCTCACTTGGTTGCTAAAGGGTATACTCAAATTAAAGGATAGGACTACTTATATACCTTTTTTCCAATAGCCAAAATTACCACAGTTAGAATTTTGTTAGCACTAGCTACTTCAAATAAGTAGTTGTTCAAATAACTTGATGTTAATAATGCATTTTTTCATGGTGATCTCAATGAAGAGGTGTATATGGTCCTACTTTCGAGTGTATAATCTACCAAACCTGGTCAAGTTTGTAAGTTACAACGGTCTCTTTATGGGTTGAAACAGGCCAGCCGTCAATGATATCCTCGATTATCCACTTTTCTTATGGCTCATGGTTTCAAATAGTCCTCCGCTGACTATTCTCTCTTTTCTTAGAAGAGAGGGGCTTCCTTCACTGTCTTATTGGTTTATGTTGACGATATTGTTCTTAGTCAAAATGATCTCTATGTCATTTCTTACATTACAGACTTATTGGATGCCACTTTTAATATCAAAGATCTCGATGACCTAAGATATTTCTTTAGATTTGAGGTTGCTCGTGGAGCTTCTGGTATTAATATTTATCAAAGAAAATATGCTTTGGATCTTCTCTCTAACACTGACATGTTCAATTCCAAACCTATTTTCACTCCTTTGATTACTGCACCAGATTGCATCAAACTTTTGGGTCTTTGCTTTTTGACTTGCAAGTCTCTTCATACAGACACTTGATTGGTAGGTTGATATATCTTACCAATACTACACTTGATATCACTTTTGTTGTTCAAGAATTTTGATTTTTGGGAAGTATCATGGTCATCCAATAATAAGGGTTTCCTTTTTTTCAAATGAAAGATTTGAAGACCTATTGATTCTAACAACTGATTATAGAGTGGATCATTTGGACCTTTCAACTCATAGATGTGGATCTCGGACCTATGAATAGGATACTCCCAAAACTCACAAAGAACACTTTAGTCAGTTCATTGCTCATCCTACTACCAATCATTTCACAGCTCTTTATAGCATTCTTCGTTTCATTAAAGCTGCTCCTAGGCTGGGAATCTTCTTTCCTTCTACCAGTGAACTTCAGCTCAAAGCTTTTAGCAATTCTGATGGGGCTGGTTGTACTATACTAGGAAATTCATCACTGGGTTCTCTGTCTACCTTGGTTCTTCACTTATATCCTGAAAATCTAAGAAGCAAGCCATAGTTTTGAGAAGTTCTTCTAAGGCTGAGTATCGTGCTCTTGCCAGTGTCACTTGTGAGATTAAATGGCTCACATATTTGCTTCATGACTTTGGTGTTTCTCCTAAACCTACCTTGGTATTTTGTGACAATAAATATGCTCTTTACATTGCAGCAAATCCAGTCTTTCATGAAAGAACCAGACATATTGAGATTGATTGCCACTTGGTTCGTGATAAGTTGCTTTCTGGTTTAATCAAGTTTCTGCCTATTGTTTCAGCACAGCAACTTGTTGATGTATACACAAAAGATGCTTTTCATTTTATCTGTTCCAAACTGGGCATGAATGATATTCATTCCCTAGCTTGAGGAGGGATATTAGCCTTCTCTCTATTGTTAGCTACAATCTTGTTATAAAACAGTTAGTTAGTTTTGTTATAACTAATTCTTGTATATAATTTGTAATCACTACTGCAATAATTACAACTGCAATATTCAATGAGAAGTATTCCTTTCTTATTTTATTCATCATATTCTCTGTTTTTCACCCCTTGAATATGGTATGTCATGAGTTTTATAAATTAGTTTTAAATTTAATTTTAATTTTTTAAGACGATATGAAAGAAGTAAATTTTAGCCCTATAACTATATATATATGGTAGAATAAAATAAAACTTATTTAATGATAAATAAAAAACTATATGAGGCAAAAAGATATCTTCAATATAAAAAAAGAGAAAAAAAATATTAGAATGATAGATTTATTTATTCTTTTATGATTAAAAGTATAAAAATCATTTAAAACTACATTTTCACTATTTACAGTTAAATAATATTTTTAAAATTTAATCGTTTCACTTTTAAATAATCAAATAATCAAAGAGTTTGAAGACATTCAAGAGCTTTCGTTTATTAAATTTTACGGAGTTCTTTTACTGTATCGTCTTTACGTTTTCGATTCATTAGTATTGTTTTGATTTCGTATTTAGAAAAACATTACAAAATAGTTTAATTCTTTTAATGTATCGTGTTTACGTTTTCGATTGATTATTTAATCGAATTAACTGCACTATTGTGAAATACCAGTACTTAAATTATAATTCTTAAAGACAATATTTTTATTTAAAAAATGTTGACTCTATTTGATATAGAATTGAAAATAAGTAATTAAAAATAATTCTTAAACTTAAAGGCTAAATTATTAAGGTGAGACTACCATAAGCAGCAAAACATACAAATAAATTAGTACTCTATTATATTACTTTATTTTAATGTATAATTTCTTTTTAAAATATAAATAAACATTGACTTTTAAAAAACACATAAAATTATTCAATTTATATTAAATTTAATTTATACAATAAAAAATATAATATAAAATAATTTAATAGTTATATTTATCAATTTTATATTTTATAAAAAAATCATAAAATATTATTCTTCGTACCAATAAGGATTTGGCATTGTACATTTAATGCTAAATTGGCTAATTTTAATAATTATATTTTAGTTTTTGAATAAAATTAAAAAATATGTTGTCTTCAAACTATATGCTCAATGAAACAAGAAAGTAAAAGTATATTTGTTTGAGAGAGGAAAATTTTACTAAGTTATTACTAGACACTCATAACTTTTAAAGAAGATTGAATTCATCCAAAAAATTGTTGAGATACAATTTTTGATTAATATTAATATAATATTGAGTTTCAATATGTTGATTAATTGGGGACAGATAAAAAAATATTGAAAATTCTATCAAAAGGATCTCCCTTGACACATCCTCATGGAAAAAGTTAAATGAAACTTTATTTTGTATAAAAAAAAAAAGTTGACATTTTGAGGAGTTTTTTTTAAGGTTCATAGCCTGAGATGGAAAACATCCAAAAATAATCAAAAAAATAGTCTCTAACAAATTTTGCTATAAAGTTGTAAAAAAATAGAGGTTGACAAGAAAGTTGTTTCATGTTCAAAGAAAAGACAAAGTTTAAAAGGTAAAGAAATGTGTTAAAAAGCTGCAAAACTTGAAGTAGTCACCATATCCAACCAATAGTTACCGACGATTATCACAAGTTGAAGAAATATGTTGAAAAGCTGCAAAACTTGAAGTAGTCACCATGCCCAACCAATAGTTACTGGCGATTATCACCAGTTGAAGATCGAGACACAAGGAGCTCATTGTAGGCGAGAGCAGTTGTAGAAGAAGATAATAATGGACGATAACAATTATAAAAAAAACATGCACAGAAAGCAATTAGCAAGAGGTGTCCATAAAAAAAAAAGAGAACAATTGAGTTGCATTTGTTTATAAATAATATCAAATTTTGCATCCCAAGAGATGATTTTTTGCACTAAAGACCAACGTCCAAAATCTCTATAAGCCAAAGTTCTACGCATAAGTTAAACATAACGACCAGAGATTAACAAACTTGTTGATCATTACTAAAAATTCTATGTTACATTCCTATAAAATTTATTTTTAAGTCAACTTTGTTTCTATACTTCTTTATGTTTGTTTTAATATTATTTTATTATACTTACTTTCTAATGTTGATGTTACTTAATTACACTGTGAACACATTTTAAAAGAGGCAAAAAAAATCTAATTTCAAATTATTTTTAAATTTATTTATTTATTATTTATAATTTTCATCGTAAACACTTTGCGCATTGCACTGCAAATTATAAAGAAGCTTCATTGAATGCAAAGATTTAATATTACATCACCACTCTCCATAGAAAACATAAACCTTATTTTGGAAGTAACACAGTACTTTACAGGTACATAGAACACAGTTAATTATTCTAGGGGACTTAGCAATATTTATTTTACCATAACTAGTCCTTAAAGGTGCACAAAACGGGAAAGCTCTCTCACCCACGCTGATATATTGATGATATCGAAGAAGCAAACCACACTGAAATCTAGGGTATGGCATTGGCGGTAGTCTCATTATGACAACATTTATAGCTGATGGAAATCTCCATAGTCCTAGGACAGTCAGGGCATTTTATGGTCTCTGGTAACTTTCCTGCAACATTAGGAATTTCAAGGTGTGAGCAACGGTGAGTGGTGCTCACAATCTTCTCATGGTATTCTTTGAAGCATAACTCAAAGGACTCAAAGCCCTTCTTGACCACAACTTCTCTCCACTTCTCAAACTCTGCCACTGTCTTCAAGATTGTGTTTCCATGACCACTCACCACCACAGATGACCCTTTGCTGAGGAGAGCCCATCCAGTTTCATTCTTGTAAGAGAGCATCTTTTGCACTTCCTGAGTCACTGCATCAACTGTCTTGTGAACCTTTGTCACAAACAAACTCTCAATGCCACTCCAAAAGCGTCTCACGAGGCTTTTGTCCTCCTTTTCCACACAAAATAATTCTATGGAAATCTTTGCCTCTTTTATGACAGAATCGTTTGCAAGGGCAGTCGCATACTTAGTGAACTGTTGAATCCACTCTTTGTCATTGCCTCCGTAAAAGAAAATGTACTTTTTCTCTTTGATCTGCTTCACAGAAAGTATCACAAAACCTTGTTTTTATCATTGTTCATACAAATACTAGTTTCCTATTTTCCCGCAAAGATAACATAATACTAATTCAACAGACAAAAAGGATAAGCCATTTGAATTAGTATATAAACTTAATTTTTTTGTGAAAGCTACTTACCCAAGCGTCTATGTTGGGGTGAATGCCGCCTACAACAGAGCCAACCCACTCGAACTCTTTGTTTATGCTTTCTTCATTCGAAGTTGTAAATGGAAAAGCCTTCATTCCATAAGCCTGAATCAAATGGAATGCGTTTGTGTGCTGCACCTTCCCTTGAGGACTCAACACCACAACCATGGGCTTCTTTTTGAAGTGCCATTCCTCCTTAATGTACTTATACCCAGCTATGGTTCCAAAGGGTTGCACCACATACCAACGCATCTTGCTTTTTACAACCTCATATTTCTTGCGCAGCTGCTCGGTCCATTCCTCCACAATGGGAATCCACACAATCTTATACTGATCATTAGTTTTAATTGAATCATAAACTGGTCGAAGTACTGAAATCTCTTCCTCCGTGATGTCTAGGGTAGAAATAAACAGATACACGTTCTTCTTTTTTAGCACAGATATGTCAACCTACCAGACAATAAATGAATCAAAATTATGAGCTACAAATGCACTTGAATACACCGTTTCACAGACATAGGATAATCTAGAACGCGAGTTATAGTTTTACTTTGCACGTATATTTCTTCAATCTTAATTCTTTTTATTTTCACTATCTTATAATTTTTTAATTAAATTCACGAAAAGTTTAATAATAGTATTCAAATGAAACTCTCTTTCTCAAAAGCTTGCTGAAATCCAATGATTGATATTTTAACTCCATTGACATTTCGGTTTGATTTTAAAGTGAGCGATAACTCTCCAACCAACAACTTGGGACAAACTTGCTAAGTAAGTGAACTTTTTTATGCATCCTCCTGTTTTGAGGTCCCTCTTTTTGCTGACTAATTGAGAGTCATGACTCATGTAGCGCCTACATTAGTACCAAATATATGTTTGCGGTTAGGTAACCCCATTTCCACAACAGATATTGATTATCTAAAGGTGTAAAAAAATAAATTTTATTATGAATAGATTTGGTTTTGAGAGAATTAATTTTTTTTCTTTTTTTATATTGATAATAATTTATTTTGAATTACAAGTTATAATTTAAATTTTTTTATATACACATAATCTTCTTACATTAATATAACTTTAAAATTTTTACATTTAATTTAAATTTTTATTTAACTTAATTAGATGTAAATTAAATGAAAGATTTGCACCAAATATATATATATATATATATATATATATATTAAAAATAATATTTTATTGTTTAAATAAAATCATTTATATATCATAAATTCTCGTTTAGAATATCACTTCCAACAATAAATTAATTTTTGATGTTGCTTTAGTTCCTTGAAAATTAATTATTTAAAAAGAGGTTATAATAAAATCGTAAATGAAGATATTGGATCTGGTTCTAAGTTTGTCGTTTTCCTCTAATTCACACTTCCAAAATTACTTACCTTTGACAAAACAGCCACGTGACCGGAACCCATCGACATGAAAGTTGTTGACTTTTTCGTCCCACCATACAAGGAAAGTAAATCAACTTTTTCTTGTATGCTGTCCAGGTATACACGAAAGATCATATTATTTACCTTCTAGCTTATTCATTCACTTTTGCAATAAAACTTTATTTTGTTTATTATTTTTTAGACATTTAAGATAACATTAATTATTATATTATCTCTACTTAATTCTTAAATATTATACACACTTATCATTAATAAAGAAAAATGATAATAAAGGTTATAAGAAGTTAAAAATAATTTTAATATAAATATAGATATTATATTTCTTAAGTGGAGTATTATTTTTAAAAATAGATAGATAAAAAAGAAGAAAGTATTATAAAGCTTAAAAAGCAAATTTTTCACACTAGTTTTGTTTTGGTAATAGATGGCAACTAATTTCCTAAATTTTGAGAAAGCTTTACAAACCGTGGTCTTAGTTGCACCATCAAACAGGGGCTGTGGAGCATCCTTGTTGAAAATCAAAACCTTAAACACCACCATTATTTCAGTGGGGGTTTGGAAAAGTTTCCTGAGCCTACGATAATATTCTGCCTCATCTGAAACCACATGGACATATCATCTAGTCAGCATCTTATTTATTGCTCCTCTCTCTTTATAGCTTAAAAAGAAGCACGTACCCTTTGAAGGGAAAACAATAGAGAATAAAGGCAGAGCCAATTAAATTATATATTACTGACCTATCTGTTGTCCACAGAGCGTGATCTGCTTCCTCAGTTTGCTGAGTATGATGTTGAGCTTTTGACCATAGTGAGACAGCTCTTGCTTGTGCTCCCTTAAATAATCAAGAAATTATTATAATATCTTCAAAAGTAAGATTAATAAGTTCGTGTTGTAATTACGTGTGAACCTTACTACAAGTACTTGGGTACTACTAGATCCACTTTTATAAACTTCTTAGCGTATTTTTAAATATACACTAAAACAATAAGGAGGGTAACTTACGATTCAGTGGTGAGGCAATCAATCTGAGTAACAACTGCAGCGATAGTGATGATGGCCCAATAGACATCAACGGGAATTTGCTCAATTGCAGTCCCCAAAGCAGGCACATCCTTTGTGTCATAAGTGGTAAGCTTCTCCAACTCAAAAATTACCTCAATCACTTGCAAAGTTGCTTTCACCAAATTGTTCACCTCAATAATGGCTTGGCGGTGCTTTTGAAGTGCTGCGGGCCTTGTCAGCACTGGCACTCGCTTCAGAACAGCCACAGATTTAGCAAGAGGATCTGTTGGTTGATGCTGAGCTAGCAACCAGAACTCACTATACTCCAACGCAAAAGCCGCCAGAGTCAAAACCGCTTTTGCGTCCCACTCATATTTGGAGAGCTTGTTAAGTATGGCAAGTGTAGTTTTGTGAGCAATTTCCTCACTTGGAGGCTTGCATGACATCTGCCACGACATGTCACTGTGTTACATTCGTCACTTACTAATCATAATGTTCCCAAGTTGTTTGTGTTATATTATGTTTTAATAAGAGGATGTTTGTTAATTAATCATATTTTTTGATCCTTAAATTAAAAAAAGTCAGTCATATATATCTTTAATTTCTTAGATTCATGAATGACCTCGGAAGAAATCTGCTTCAGGGTACAGAGTGGAGAACTGAATTGGGGGATCTTGTCGTCTAGGTTTTCCAAGCTTGGTTGAGAGCCCTGTAAAAATTGATTCGGATTAAGTGCATGGATTATTTGAGGATGTGTTTGAAAGCAGAAACATGGAAGTGAAAGACTATGTCTAGGTATACCTGAACAACATTGTCGACAATGTGGGTTGAACGTCTAAGGGTGTTCTCAACAAGGGTGAAAAGAGAGTCTACATCAAACTTGGTGTCACTGTGAACATGGGTAGAGTAAATTTGCTCCAAAATCTGATCATCAGACATGGTTAATGGGTTATGCTCACTCTCAGTTGTTTGAAGGAGAGACTTTAGTGAAGACTTGGTTGAAAGCATGTTCATGCCTTTCGGTGGTAAAGAAAATTATTTGTTGTTGCCTTCTAGTGCTGTAATAACCTGGTTTCCCAAGTCCTACCGTATTTATAACGTGAAAAAATGATTAATTTTTGTTTTCTTTTTTCTTTTTTCTTTTTTTTGAGTTGTAAATTTCATCTTGTGCTTTATGTTGGAGATTGGAACTAATCATGGTCTACCACCGAAGTTACAATTCGATTGTTTCAATTTATTTTTTTCTTAAAACAATTAAATTCATTTTTGTATTATATTTTATTATCTTTTAAAGAAAGTTTCTTTAGCTCTTTCATATCACTTCTTCTGATTCCAAATACCTAGTACCTAACACTTTTAAAAATTTTCATATCACGTCATATTTATTCTAATCAAATAAAGATATTAATTATTATACTGAGCACGAGGGGTGCTCAAACTACGTCAATTTTAAAGAAGGATGAAAACGCATCACCAACGGCATTATTCAATGAATCAGTTACTTAAAACGATATTAAAAATCATTTCACTCCCTCGTCACATAGTTTATAGTTACCATCTTCATCCTATCTTAGATGTGAGTTAGTAGTAAAATATATAATTTCAACAATAATCAATTTTATTAATTGTTATAACGAAATAATTTTTATTAAAATATTTCTATTAAAAATGATAAAATTATTTTATATAAGTTAATAAGAAGAATAGTTAATCAATAAAAAGTATTTATAATAAATGAAAATACTTGTAAAAATAGGATTATATTTTTATATATAATATTCAATATATATATATATATGGTAAATTTTTAAAATTTATAGAAATAAAGAATTTAAAAATTGATAATAACAATTTTTTATGTAAATACAAAAAGAAATAAAACATTAAAAAGGTAATAAAATGTTAAAAATCGTCAATTATAATTTTTTAAAAATATTAAAAAATAAAAAATTCTTAATGACAATTTTTAAAATAATAATTAAATATTTAAAAGTAACTAATGGTAATTTTTTACTAAAAGTCATTCATATCGATTTTAAAATATATATATATATATATGTGTAATTTTGATAAAAAAAATCTATATTTCTATAATTTAAAAAGATTATATAAAAAAAGAGATGTAAAAATTATTAATTATTTTTAATAATTTAAATAAATAAAAATACTCAAATAACATCTTACATCGGCGAGAGAATATTTTAAAATTGTGACCGCATTCCAATACCAAAGACATCGAAACGACATCTCCCAGAGCCATCTGTGCAGTGACCAATTTTGTGGTCCACTCTGCTACACTTCAATTAAAATACATAATTTATACTTATATTCAACATTTATTTATAAATTAATTTTTATAATTAAATTTTATATTTAAATTTTTTAATGTATTATCTTATATTTTATTTTTTTATCTAACACCATTATTTATAATTTAATTAATTGAATAGTTGCTTTTATATTTAAAATATCGTAGGACACTACGCGTTGGGGACGAGTGCCAGTTTCCCGTGCTGGACCACCGTTTGCTTTCACAATTCACACTCTTGACTATTTCTTTTTCCCCCTTTTCTTGGGGAGGAAGGGGACCTTCAATTTTTTTCAGAACATATTGAATTTATTGCCTCCAAGTGTGGCTTCTTTTTTCATATAGAAAAAAATTTAAACATTAAAATATGAGATTTTAAAAAGATTACAGAAATATGATAAATTTTTAAAAATTACTTTTTGTTGCAAAAAATTGTCAAAAATTGCAAACAGTATCTTTTAGCATTTTTTTAAAAAATTATTAAAAAATATAATTTAAAAAAAAATGCTATGCCTTTTTTAGTTTTAATTTTAATTTTAATATTTTAAAAATGATATTTTATTTTTTTAATCTCTACACATGCATTAAAAATTGTGTAATATTTTTAAAATTTTCATATTTTTGAAATTTGTTTCAAAAATTTAAATATAAATAAAAAATATTCCAAGTGTTCTGTTGCACATAATTAAGGTTTATTTCATAATTAAGTGAGTCTTAGTCGATGTAAGCATTATACTCTCCAACTTTTTTAAGAATCAATTAACATTTCTTCCGTTAGATAAATTTTTAAAAATCATTATTTAATTTGAATAATCATTATAAGGTTGGTCATATAATTTATTATTTAAATGAGAAATAAAAAAAACAAAGTAAGTAAATCAATCTTTGCGCTTCCGCGCGTCAACATGACGCAGGAAGAAAGGGACGACTTATCTTTTCAGTTACATTATTTGAATATTTAATAATTGGTATCATACGTACATCTTAAAATATTTTTTAAAATAAAGATAATATAAAAAAAATTCACTTAATATATACAAAAACTACCTTCCTCATCTTTTGTGTCTTGGAACAGTTCCACAAGCGCACGTAGCAGTGATTAGTTTTTACTTTACGACCCTTTTGTGGATGGATAAGATCGATTGACATGTGATAGCTTCCACAAGCTTCTATGATTAAACTTCAACTGGGTTTCATGGGAAATTTATAATTAAATTACAAGTAACTTTACCCTTAGTTAATTTAAGTTTTATATAATACTCTTAAAGTGTAAATTTAACGCGAAAAAAAGTATTTGCGATGTAAGTTTGAAATACTTTATTTTATTTTAAATATTTCACAAAAATCTTTAAACATCAAAGTTTTCGAAAGTATATATATATATAGCAAAGCATCTCATCTAATCGTCCAAGAAAAAAAACATCTTATCTAATATTTAATAATTATTCATGTGTTTACTGCGCTTTATTGATATGTAAAAGACTCACGATTCTATGATTATAAACTATTTAAGTATTTTAATTATTAATTTAAAATAATCTTAGTTATATTATAAATATATTTATTTCAAAAATTAATAAACTATATTTTTTAATATAATAATATATTACTTAAATTTAAAAAAATAAAATATTTTAAAATTATATTTTATGATGGATAATATCATTAATTATTGTAGGTTTAATTATACTTTTAGTCTCAATAAAATAGACATTTTAAAATTAATTCATAAAAAATTAAAATTAAATCTTTTATATTTTTAAAATAATTGAATTTAATTTTTATCATCAACTGTCATATATTAAGTGATAAGATGAATAACTATTAATATTTTATTATTTAAATATTAATATTTAAAAATAAAAAAGAATGTATTTTTTAAAATTTATTCAAATAAGTGTTTAACTTTTGAAAATGAGGTTTTTTTTATATATGAAATTTTATTTTGAAATTATAAAAATGTGAGTTTTATTATAAAATTATAAGAATATGATTTAATTTAAAAATCATCAATTATATTTTTAATTGTAAAAAATTTAGCTAGATCCAAAAGTCAATGTTGGCAAAATTTAAAAAAATTACTTTAAAAATGGTCACCGATGAAATTTTAAAAAAGTATGGTAAATAAAATTGTCGTTGACGACAATGAAAGTTTAAAATATAAAAAAAAAACGTTGATTCAAAAGAAGTTACAATTGACAATTATCAAGACTATAAGTTTTTTAAGGAAGTTGCAATTGACATTTTTAAAGAAGTTTTTAAATATTTTTAATTTTATAATCTACTTATAAATTTTTAATTACAATTTTATAACTTTTAGCATATTTTATCAAACACAACTTAATAACAAAGTTAATATAAAAATATTTAATTTTAATTTAAAATTTCACTAACAAGGATCATAAAAATTATTCAATAAAAACAAAAGTATTCAATATAAAAATACTTATTATTAAAATTTAAATTATAATTTTAACTAAATTTCAGATATTATGTTAGATAGTGTACTTGTGGATTATAATCAACTGCTTCATTATTTGAATAAATATTATGTGTAAACTTGGCTGCGGATTATAATCAACTGCTTCATTATTTTAACTAAATTTCATATATTATGTGGATTATAATCAACTGCTTCATTATTTGATTAAAATTTAAAATATTGTGGATCCCCAATAGCTACAAGGATCATAATCAACTGCTTCATTATTCTATAAATATTATGTATTAGGGATTAACACTGGTGATGACTTTGAAAATTTGGCTGCGGAGTTCCTACATTGTAAGATTGGTAGTTTCCCATTAAAGTATCTCGGGTTATAGTTAGGTATTAACCCGAGAAAGCCTAGTACATGGAAGGGTGTGTTAGAGGCTCTTAAAAAGCGGTTAGCATCATGGAAGCATAGGTATTTATCGATTGGAGGTAGGGTGACTTTGATTAATGCCGTTCTTAATTCTATGTCATTGCACTCGTTATCCTTTTTTAAGGTGTCGAAGTCGGTAATAAAGGAAATTGTCACTATCCAACGGAATTTTTTATGGAAGGGTGTTAAGGATGGATCTAAAATCCCCTGGGTGAAATGGAAAACAGTATGTAGACCGCGGAAGAATGATAGCTTGAGCATTAGGAATGTGCAGTTGTTTAATTGGGCGCTTCTTGGTAAATGGTTGTGGCGAGGTGTTAACTGTTCTAGTTCATTGTGGGTGCGGGTGTTGGAATCTAGATATGGAAGATTAGCTTCTTCTCTTCAGCGTTCATCAGTTCACAACAGATGTTCTTTGTGGTGGTGTGATTTGCTGGAGGTTATTCATCAAGGGAATTCATGGCTGGATGAGAAGTTTGATAGAAGTGTGGGTGCAGGTTTACACACTCTTTTTTGGAGAGATAAGTGGGTAGGAGGGGTGCGATTGTGTGAAGCATTTTCGCGATTATTTGCAGTGACGAGAAATGTTGAATCACGTGTAGTGGAGAATGGTTTTCATGATGTGTATAAATATATTTTTTAATTCTCAATATCATTATATTATATATATATATATATATATATGTATATTGAAAAGTTAAAATTTAAAAATTATATTAATTTTGATAAAAAAAATTAATTTATTATTTAAAAATAATTTATATTTGTATTAAATTAATTTTTATTTATTTCAAATTTTAGAAAGAATATATAATATTATATATTTAACTGTTATCATTTACTTTAGATATAAGATAGGATAAAATATATATTT